GACTGTCGACTCGCTTCTTATTTCTGCAGCGAAACCCAGCAGCCTTCATTCTGTTTTTATCTGAAAAGTGTCTCTTATGGAATCTGCTGCTTTCTTTACTGACATACAAACATTTTTCTGTAACATTTCATTTTGTGCTGGAAAACTAATGTTTGGAATCGAAAATGTTTTTGTACTGAATCAATAATGTAGAAGTCATAAAATAAAAATCTATAACAAAGTTTGTACTAAAAAAAATAAGGTGCCAAGACTTTTGCACAGTACTGTATATCTAATCTCACTTTGATAGATGGAACAGTGAGGTACTGACTTAAAGTTTTACATGTTTAAAAGTTTTTTACATCTTTAAAATGAACACTACAACACAAAGATTATTTTGGAGCAACACAGTCAATGGACTCAAAAACTTTCATGGAATCCTGAGTTTAAAAGTTGTTAAAGAGTTTTGGTTTTAGTGGTGAGTAACCAAGGTAATCGTGTATGTTTGCAGAGATTCAGGATCCAAAAACACACAAAAGATGAATGAATGAATGAATGAATGTTTTAAGTAGATTTTTTTCCATTTATTGTTAAAAGTGCTAAATTGATCTGAACTGAAATTGTTATCTGGAAACATTGGGTGTTAGTATCTTGAGTTTATGAATAAACTTTATAAAAGAAAGAACTCCTATATACTGTACATATACGACATATCAGTCCAGGGCAATGTAATGTTATAAAAGAAAAGAAAAACACAGACTTCACCATTACACCAAACTGCACTTCACATGGGTACAAGTCTTGAGGTGAGACACTTATTATTATTGTTCATGTACTGTAACATCAATTTTGCTAAATTCAAATAAATGCCTCTCAGCGAAAGTGACTAAAATTCTGCCACCTACCTCCCAAAATTACAACCACGTGACAAGATAAACTTTTTAAAAACACAGAAAAACAGGGAGCAAATCATCAAGGTAAGCTCTGAGAGAATGGTGAATGAAACCTCTGTTTCTTACGTCTTTCTCTTATTGAACTATTCACTGCTATGGTAGGTTCAAGACTTTTTTTGCTTAGCCATCCATAAGCTTTGACTGTTCTGAAACAAGGCATCCTGGCAGTAGTAATAAAGTATATAATGATTAATTAGATGATGCCCAGGCCCCTTTATTGTAACTCATCGGTATAAAGCAAGCTGTGCTTATAATGTCTCTGGAAAGAGTGACATTTTCAAAAATAAGTAAAATCCAAAGTGTTATTGAGAATATGCAATATTGTCCTGTCCAACTTTTTCAGACATGTGACACTTTTTAAGGTGGCCCTAATAATGCTTAATGGCATTTATATCTGCTTATGTATGTTTTAGATCCATTACCTGATTTGTTCAGTTCAACAACTTAGAATGTTGTCTCCTTTGTTTTGATAGTTCTTTGGTTTTCCGCCTGG